GTAGAGACGGGGTTTCACCATGTTGACCAGGATGGTCTTGATCTCTTGACCTCGTGATCCACCCGCCTCGGCCTCCCAAAGTGCTGGGATTACAGGCTTGAGCCACCGCACCCAGCTCAATTCTTATATATCCCTCAGAAATTAATCATGGTGTTTTGCATATAGTAAGTGCACAATAAATACTTGTAAATTGTGACATTTTTTCTTATGGGGGAGTTTGTCTGGTTTTCAGTATTCTTGGTGATGAAGTTTTTAAGACTTTGAAAACTGGATTTTTTTTTTTTTTTCTTATCACGATCTCAACTCTCATCTAGGCTGGAGTGCAGTGGCGCGATCTCAGCTCACTGCAACCTCCGTCTTCCAGGCTCGAGCAATTCTCCAACTTCAGCCTCTGGAGTAGCTGTGACCATAGGAATGTGTCATGATGCCTGGCCAATTTTTGTGTTTTTTATAGAGAGATGGGGTTTCACTATGTTGGCCAGGCTGGTCTTGAAATCCTGAGCTCAAGCGATGTATCTACCTCGGCCTCTTGAAGTGTTGGGATTGCAGGCCTGAGCCACTGTCCCCTACCAAAAACTGGATTTTTGTACTATAAAGTCGAGTGCTTGTGTTGGATATATCTATACAAAAAATGTGTGTCTCTTTGTACTTTTGTGTTTTCTGAAGCCTGTTATGGGCCTAACAAGAGTTCCTGCTTGTGAATGTTTGATAGGGATAAATGTTTCAGAGAGAAAGGTATACTAATTAAATTCTTCTCTTTTCTTTCTTTTAGTTTAAATATGGAAAAATTTCTTCCAAACATAATGGGAGTGTGAAAAAGGGTGTTATTTTTGCTACATACTCTTCACTTATTGGTGAAAGCCAGTCTGGTGGCAAGTATAAAACTAGGTTAAAACAACTTCTCCATTGGTGCGGTGATGACTTCGATGGAGTGGTATCCTTTACCGAAAATATTTTTGTATTTTTTAATGACAGCAAAATTATAAAAGGGGAGACCTTTGGGAAACAGGAATCCTAAGATTAAATGAACTGCTGGAGTGAAAACTTTAATGATAAGCTAGAATATCCAAAGGGATTGGAAAGTTAATTCTGTTTTTTTACCTGTTAGGAGACCAGTATTTAACCTCCTGCTTTAGAAAAATGTTAATAGCTATGAGGAATGCTGAATACTGTATTCCCCCTTTGGGGATTAACATTGCATATTTACATAGCAAAATACCTGAAAAGACTAAGGGAAAGAACACTGTTAGAATTTAGTGGGCCCAGACTTCCTTGTTCACAGCATATCTCCTAACTGTCTTGCTTGAGAAACACCACTCTTTGAAATGCTCCTTCAATTGGTTACCAATCATGCTTCTATTTACACAAGTTACCAAATAATAACTTCTTACTACAGTGGGTTATTTTCTCTGTTTTACTTTAAAAGCAAATATCTGGTTTAGATAAATTCCAAATTCAGTGAATGCCTTTGAGGCCTGCGAGGGAGGAGGATGTAACTGGGGAAAAGCACGTAGGACTTCTTTTATATTTGCAGTCATAAAGTAGACAATCAGAAGGCCTGGGAATAAAAGTTAACTCTTCTTGAAAGATCAGAGGCACTTAATACTAATGTGATACATTCCTTAATTCATTCCATTTAGATAGTGTTTGATGAGTGTCATAAAGCAAAAAACTTATGTCCTGTTGGTTCTTCAAAGCCAACCAAGACAGGCTTAGCTGTCTTAGAGCTTCAGAACAAATTGCCAAAAGCCAGAGTTGTTTATGCTAGTGCAACTGGTGAGTAGTTATTTATTTAAAAACATACATTGCAGGTTATTTTTTCAACTATAATTTATTTCATTTGTGGGTTTTTCAGGCGCTTCTGAACCACGCAACATGGCCTATATGAACCGTCTTGGCATATGGGGTGAGGGTACTCCATTTAGAGAATTCAGTGATTTTATTCAAGCAGTAGAACGGAGGTAATGCAGTTTATGGTATATACTGTTCTCAGTAGCAATCTAAGAAATGTATTACTCCTGTAGCTCGTTCTCTGTATGTTAAAGTTCTACTTTATTGGTAGTTACTGTATGTTTTAATTTTATTCAGAGGAGTTGGTGCCATGGAAATAGTTGCTATGGATATGAAGCTTAGAGGAATGTACATTGCTCGACAGCTGAGCTTTACTGGAGTGACCTTCAAAATTGAAGAAGTTCTTCTTTCTCAGAGCTATGTAAAAATGTATAACAAAGCAGTCAAGCTGGTGAGGAATTTTTCTTAATTCCTAGTGTTTATTTTATGTATCTCATAATGTATCTGTTCGGTTTGGCAATTGTAATGCCTCCTGCCCATGGGAATGTATTTCTGCTATAAAACAACAAATGAGGCCTTATACAGTGGCTCACACCTGTAATCCCAGCACTTTGGAAGGCTGAGGTAGGTGGGTGGATCACCTGAGGTCAAGAGTTCAAGACTACCCAGCATGGTGAAACCTCATCTCTACTAAAATACAAAAAAGTTTAGCTAGGCATGGTGGCCTGCCCCTGTAGTCCCTGCTACTTGGGAAGACTGAGGCAAGAGAATCGCATGAACCCAGGAGGTGGACGTTGCTGTGAGCTGAGATCGCACCACTGCACTCCAGCCTGGGCGACAGGGAGACTCCATCTCAGAATTTAAAAAAAAACAAACAGATGATACACTGTTTAACCAATGTAGTTTTTTTGTTTGTGGCAGGGTCTCTCACTCTGTTGCCTAGGCTGGAGTGCAATGGTGTGATCTCAGCTTATTGCAACCCTCACCTCGCAGGTTCAAGCAGTGCTCCCATCTTGGCCTCCTGAGTAGGAGGGACTGCAGGCGTGCACCACCATGCCTGGCTAGTTTTATGTTTTTTGGTAGGGACAAGGTTTTACAGTGTTGCCCAGGCTGGTCTGGAACTCCTGGGCTCAAGGGATCCGCCTGCCCTCGGCCTCCCAAAGTGCTGGGATTATAGACATGAGCCACTGCACCTGGCCTGACCAATGTTCTTATATTACAGATTTTCGAAGTTTTCATTTTGTTAAGGCAATTCATAAATTATAGTCATTTATTTCAGTTGCATAGCTTTAAAAATCACATTATTTCCTAAAATGACTGCATTAGATAATAAGAAACTTGAGACAACTGTGCATCCTGAGAAATAAATTCCAAGTTACTAAAGATGATTTATTAGGTTAATATTAAATGGCCTTGAACTTGACATTATTTTGATTTAATTGATATTTTTAAATAACTACACTCAAAGATGAAATGTCTAAAATGTTGTTTGTGTATCTTCAGTGGGTCATCGCCAGAGAGCGGTTTCAGCAAGCTGCAGATCTGATTGATGCCGAACAACGAATGAAGAAGTCCATGTGGGGTCAGTTCTGGTCTGCTCATCAGAGGTTTTTCAAATACTTATGTATAGCATCCAAAGTTAAAAGGGTTGTGCAACTAGCTCGAGAGGAAATCAAGAATGGAAAAGTAAGTCAAATAACTCATTAAGAAATTCATTGTTTTTGGGTTATATTGCTTAGTTTTTGTGGATGCTGAGGTTTTTCTGCTTGTAAAATCTGGTTTTCCTAAAAAATAAATTTCTTAAAGTTATAAAGGAAATGCCTGCTTGGAGAATTTAGAGAGCTCAGAAAAGTATAACAAAGTAAACATCAGGCCGGGCGCGGTGGCTCAAGCCTGTAATCCCAGCACTTTGGGAGGCCGAGGCGGGTGGATCACGAGGTCAAGAGATCGAGACCATCCTGGTCAATATGGTGAAACCCCGTCTCTACCAAAAAAAAATACAAAAAATTAGCTGGGCATGGCGGTGCGTGCCTGTAATCCCAGCTACTCAGGAGGCTGAGGCAGGAGAATTGCCTGAACCCAGGAGGCGGAGGTTGCGGTGAGCCGAGATCGCGCCATGCACTCCAGCCTGGGTAACACGAGTGAAACTCCGTCTCAAAAAAAAAAAAAAAAAAAAAAAAAAGTAAACATCACTATTATTGGTCATCTGTAGCTGATACCACTAGTAACATATGGATGTGTATTGCATTAAGGTTTTTTCTTTTGGTGAATATCTACTTAAAGCATTAGGTACTACAAACTTTGCAACGCAGGGACTCCACTCATGCTTACTACTGTTTGTAATTCTGTCTCCTGCGTAAGGTTTTGACACATAACCTGTCTCAAATATACAGAAGAAATAACTAAAACGAATGTGTGTTTTATAATAATGAGGACATTGTTGTTTGAAATTTTTGTTTAGCTAAATATTTAAAATATGTCTTGGTAAGAAGCCACAAACATTATTATTTGTAACTAACATGTTTTCTTTTTTTTCTCCAGTGTGTTGTAATTGGTCTACAGTCTACAGGAGAAGCTAGAACATTAGAAGCTTTGGAAGAGGGCGGGGGAGAATTGAATGATTTTGTTTCAACTGCCAAGTAATGTTTTTGTTTTTCTTTTTGAGTTCTTTCTTAGATTGGTTCCAATGTGGGCATTTCCTGGAGACAAAACTTTTGATTCACCTACATCATCTTTAAGTTTTCTTGATCTGAGTATTTGGAATGTGCTTTTCTGTAACAGTGTATTTATTAGAAAACAGTAACAGAAATCTCATAATCCTCAAATGTTAAGCATTTTGCCAGTATTACACAGAGTATATGACTTAACAGAAGGGCTTGATTTTGTTTGTCTTGTACATGTTGGAAATGTGTGACAGCTTGGTTTAGTTTCAGTTTTAGCATTCTGTATTTGAAATTACCATTATCTGCAGGATCAGTAACTATAGTTTGTCCTAATATAATGAAGTCTCTTTTATAAGTTGGCTGAGCGTGGTGGCTCACACCTGTAATCTCAGCACTTTGGGAGGCTGAGGTGGTCAGTTCGAGACCAGCCTGGCCAACGTGGCAAAATCCCATTTCTACCAAAAATACAAAAATTAGCTGGGCCTGGTGGCACTCGCCCTGTAGTTCCAGGTACCCATGAGGCTGAGTTAGGAGAATTTCCTGAACCCAGGAGGTGGAGGTTCCAGTGAGCTGAGATTGCACCACTACACTCCAGTCTGAGTGGTAGAGTGAGACCCTATCTCAGAAAAAAAAGAAAAAGCAACTCTACTTTACAAGTTGAGAATTAAGCATGAGATCTTCAAAAAACAATGCCTACAATGATTTAGGTGTTGTTTTAGTTTGCTTAACCTGCAGATTCTAACTCTGGTAGTAAATTAAGCAAAGTAAACTTGCCACTTCACTATTTTGTGCCTTGGGATGCATTCAAATGCTCCTTTTAAAAGCAAAACATAGGACTCACTCCTGTAATCCCAGCACTTTGGGAGGCAGATCACTGGTGGTCAGGAGTTTGAGACCAGCCTGGCCAACATGGTGAAACCCCGTCTCTACTAAAAATACAAAAATTAGCCAGGCATGATGGCAGGCACCTGTAATCCAGCTACTGGGCACATTGAGGCAGGAGAATTGCCTGAACTTTGGAGGCAGAGGTTGCAGCGAGCCAAGATTGTACCATTGCACTCCAGCCTAGGCAACAAGAGCAAGACTCCCATCTCAAAAAAAAAAAAAAAAAAAAAAAAAAAAGTTGACCAGGCATGGTGGCTCATGCCTATAATCCTAGCACTTTGGGAGGCCAACGCAGGTGGATCATGAGGTCAGGAGTTTAAAACCATCCTGGCCAAGCTGGTGAAACCCTGTCTCTCGTAAAAATACCAAAGTTAACTGAGCCTGGAGGTGGATGCCAGTAATCCCAGCCACCCAGGAGGCTGAGGCAGAGATTTGCTTGAACATAGGAAGTGGAGGTCGCAGTGAGCTGAGATCGCACCAGTGCACTCTAGCCTGGACTACAGCAAGACTCCATCTCAGAAAAACAAAAAAATGCATGCACCTGCTAATATATATTTTTCTGTACATAATTGCCCAGAACTACCCTGTCTGTAATGGCAGTCACTCATCACATGTGGCTATTGAGCAGTTGAAATGACTGGTCCATATTGAAGTGCTATATGTGTGTACTAAGCCAGGTTTCAAAGACTCCTGAAGAAAAAATAATGTAAAACTTGTGTTGCTATGGTATATTTGAGTTAAATAAAATGAATTACTAAACTTAGTTCCACCAGTTCTTTTTTCCTACTTTTTAATGTAAGCTACTAGAAAATATAATAATTGTTTATAATTATGTATGTAGTTTGACTTGCATTCTTATTTAGTTGGACAGCCTTGAGCTAGAAAATTAAAATTTATTTGAACTCGTTTATCAGTATTTTGTAAAACTGAAGAAGGTGTATTTCAATCTGTTTCATAAGACTTTACATATAATTATTTTGTCAACTGAAGCAGTAATTGTTAATTTGTTGCTTTTTCTCTCCTACAGAGGTGTGTTGCAGTCTCTTATTGAAAAACATTTTCCTGCTCCAGACAGGAAAAAACTTTATAGTTTGCTAGGAATCGATTTGACAGCTCCAAGTAACAACAGTTCACCGAGAGATAGTCCTTGTAAAGAAAATAAAGTAAAGAAGCGGAAAGGTGAGTACTTTTTTTTTTTTTTTGAGACAGAGTTTCACTCATGTTACCCAGGCTGGAGTGCAATGGCGCGATCTTGGCTCACCGCAACCTCCGCCTCCTGGGTTCAGGCAATTCTCCTGCCTCAGCCTCCTGAGTAGCCAGGATTACAGGCACGCACCACCATGCCCAGCTAATTTTTTGTATTTTTAGTAGAGACGGGGTTTCACCATGTTGACCAGGATGGTCTCGATCTCTTGACCTCGTGATCCACCCGCCTTGGCCTCCCAAAGTGCTGGGATTACAGGCTTGAGCCACCGCGCCCGGCCACTTTTTAAAAGTTGATGTTGAAAATACCATAAATGTAAGCATTTTAAAGTGGCTATATTTTGGCAATAAACTGCCTTCCATGAATTCAAAAGAGGTTACAAATTTTCACTGTCACTTGTGCAATTTTGAACGCACAAGTTATCCCTCTGTTTTAAATTAGGACTTGAGCAATTCACTGGTGGTTGACAGTGTGTTAAGCGCTTAGCTATATACATTCTACCATTTAATCTGGCAGAGGTCCATATGAAATTAGGTCTTATTTTTCCAGTTTTATAAACAGAGATCACTAAAGCACAGAAAGATTTAAAAGTTAAGGAGTTTTCCTAGGTTCAGAGAGGTAGTTTATGATGCATGGGTACTAAAACCTGTCTTTCTATTGTCAGACCTATTTTTTAATATATGTAGAGTTGGGTGTTTCAGTAGTCTTTAAAAGAGCATTTTTTTTTTTTTTTTTTTTGAGACGGAGTTTCGCTCTTGTTACCCAGGCTGGAGTGCAATGGCGCGATCTCGGCTCACCGCAACCTCCGCCTCCTGGGTTCAGGCAATTCTCCTGCCCCAGCCTCCTGAGTAGCTGGGACTACAGGCACGCGCCACTATGCCCAGCTAATTTTTTGTATTTTTAGTAGAGACGGGGTTTCACCATGTTGACCAGGATGGTCTTGATGTCTTGACCTCGTGATCCACCCGCCTCGGCCTCCCAAAGTGCTGGGATTACAGGCTTGAGCCACCGCACCCGGCCAAGCATTTTTTTTTTTTTTTTTTAAGGCAGGGTCTCCCTCGTGTCTCCCATGCTGGAGTGCAGTGGCGCCATCTTGGTGCACTACAACCTCCACTTCCCGGTTCAAGGAGCTGGGATTATAGGCATGCACCACCACACCCTGCTAATTTTTGTATTTTTAGTAGAGACAGTGTTTCGCCGTGTTGGCCAGGCTGGTCTGGAACTCCTGGGTTCAAGCAGTGTGCCCACCTCAGCCACCCAGAGTGCTGGGATTATAGGCATGAGCCATTACCCAGACCTGTTTGGCTTTTAGAAGTTAACTTCGGCCGGGTGCAGTGGACCACCTGAGGTCAGGAGTTCCAGACTAGCCTGATCAACGTGGAGAAACCCAGTCTCTACCAAAACATACCAAAAAAAATTAGGCATAGTGGCATATGCCTTATAATTCCAGCTACTTGGGAGACTGAGGTGGGAGAATTGCTTGAACCCGGGAGGCGGAGGTGTCAGTGAGCCGAGATCATACCATTGTACTCCAGCCTGTGCTATAGAGAGAGACCCTGTCTTAAAAAAAAAAAAAAAAAAAAAAAAACTTCTCAGTCTGGGCACAATGACTCATGCCTGTAATCCCAGTACTTTGAGAGGCCAAGGCGGTGGATCACTCGAGGTCAGGAGTTCAAGACCAGCCTGGCCAACATGCCAAACCCCATCTCTGCTTAAAATATAAAACAGCTGGGACTGATGGCAGGGGCGCCTTATAATCCCAGCTACGCAGGAGGCTGAGGCAGGAGAATCGCTTGAACTCAGGAGGCAAAGGTTGCAGTGAACCAAGATTGTGCCACTGCACTTCAGCCTGGGAGACAGAGTGAGACTATCGGGGGGAAAAAAATAGCTGGTCATGGTGGCATGTACCTATAGTTCCAGGTACTTAGGAGGCTGAGGTGGGAGGATCACTTGAGCCAGGGAAGTTGAGGCTGCAGTGAACTATGATTGTGCCACTGCACTCTAGCCTGGGCAACAGAGTGAGGCCTTAGGTCCAAAAATAAAAAGGTTTTATGAATCGATTTTCTGAGTATGTCTTTAAACCTATAATTATTAAACCTCAAATAGGACACACAGTCAAATTGTGACTGTGGCTGAGGTTCTGCTTTTACTCTGTTGTCTTGAATTTGTTTTGAAACTTGTGCGCTTGAAGGCGATCTTGACTTAGTACTTAATGTATCTAATTTCTTCTTGAAAATAAATGTTTATAACCTTATTTCTTATGGAAGTCCAAAAGGTTAGCACTGATTTTTAAATTCTGTTTGTTCTTTGACTTAAATAAATGCTTTTCCTCTGCACTTTTCATTTGAATTAATTCATGAGCTAAATATGTACTGGATCTTAAGAACATTGAATTTGGGCTGACTCTCTTGATTGTGTTGGGGTTAGGTGAAGAAATAACTCGAGAAGCCAAAAAAGCACGAAAAGTAGGTGGACTTACTGGTAGCAGTTCTGATGACAGTGGAAGTGAATCTGATGCCTCTGATAATGAAGAAAGTGATTATGACAGCTCTAAAAACATGAGTTCTGGAGATGATGATGATTTCAACCCATTTAGAGATGAGTCTAGTGAGGATGATGAAAATGGTAAGTTTATCAATATATTGAATCTACACTAAAGCATAATTAATATTTTAGTGTATTTAAAAATGGGATATTAAACCTTTTTTCTGTACAGTACAAATGATCACACAGATTCTAATCTTTGCTTGGCGGGGCGCTCCAGGCTTACCTACCTTCTGGAGGTTCTCTCATATATGTGAGAAGATAACCTCAATTTTTGTGCAGCTATTTTTAATCTGAAAACATGGATTTGTACCCCATGGTTTATCGATGGACCAGTGTAGATGGTGATAAGTTATCAGTTATAAGTTATGCCACTGCATTTTAGCCTGGGAGACAGAGTGAGACTGTCTGGACCAAAAAAAAAAAAATTAACTGGTCATGGTGGCATGTGCCTGTAGTCCCAGGTTTCAAAGGCTGTTCCTTTTAAAGAGTCTGTACTTTTTTAACAAATGATTTGACGTATATCTTTCCTTAATGCTCAGATCCCTGGTTAATCAGAAAAGATCACAAGAAAAACAAAGAGAAGAAAAAGAAGAAAAGTATAGATCCAGATTCTATTCAAAGTGCCTTATTAGCATCAGGTCTTGGATCAAAACGACCCAGTTTTTCATCTACACCAGTTATCTCACCTGCTCCTAACAGTACACCAGGTATCCATGTAGAAACTTTCTTGTTAAAATACGCTTTTAAACAAAAATAAACTTTGTACTGACTTGTAACAAATGTTCTTTATCTAGCTAACAGTAACACCAACAGTAACAGTAGCCTTATAACAAGTCAGGATGCCGTGGAAAGGGCTCAGCAGATGAAGAAAGACCTGCTTGATAAACTAGAAAAATTAGCTGAAGACCTCCCCCCTAATACCCTGGATGAACTTATCGATGAACTTGGCGGCCCTGAGAATGTTGCTGAGGTAAATATACCTGTATGTCTTGGTGACATTTTTGCCATTTGAACCCCTATAAAATGAGTTGTATTTTGAGTATTATCACATAATAATCTAAATTTTTTAGATCGTAGATTTCTTGTTCTACTTTAGTTGCCATCCTAGATCCAGTGAAGTGCTGCCTCCAGTATCTGAGTGTCTGTCCCAAGCCACTGTCCTGGTTATCGCACTTTTCACACAGCTTTTGTGATCGTGGCCACATGTCAGCTTTTTCCAGGGACTGTGTTGTACTGTTCTGTATCCTCCAGTGCCTGGCGCAGCACAACGTGTGCTTTTATTTCCCAAGTGTCTTTAAGGAAAGAGGCACTGAGTCCATGCCCCGCAGTCAGATACCTTCATTGTAATGACATTGGCTCCCTCAGATGACTGGCCGCAAGGGACGGGTTGTGAGCAATGATGATGGAAGCATATCTTATGAATCAAGATCTGAACTTGATGTGCCTGTGGAAATACTAAACATCACAGAAAAACAGCGATTTATGGATGGTGATAAGGTATGTTTTTCTGGGATGCTTCTCAGTGAAAAGAAGAATGCCCATATATTGAGATTATCTTTAGAAGGGATTTTTTTTCCTTTTAATACAAGTTCATTGAGTATTGTCACTCTGTATTTTTCAGTAATTACACATGCTGAATATTTTACCTGTTTTTATTATTTTATCATTGAATATAGTAAGTATTGGCCTGGTGCAGTGGCTCAGGGCTATAATCTCAGCACTTTGGGAGGCTGAGGCAGTTGGATCGCTTGAGCTCTTGAGTTTTGAGACTGGCCTGGGCAACCTGGTGAAACCCAGTCTCTACTGATAATACAAAAAATTAGCCGGATGTGGTACTGCATGCCTGTAGTCCCAGATGCTCAGAAGGCTGAGGCAGGAGGTTAGCTTGAGCCTGGGAGGCGCAGGTTGCAGTGAGCTGAGATCGCACCACTGCACTCTGGCCTGGGTGACAGAGCTATTATGCAAATTTTTTTAGTAATTGCACATACTCACTGAATATTTTACATGTTTTTATTACTGTATCATTGAATATAATGAGTGTTGTATATTATTCATAGAATTAGATCTGACTCTTGAGTGCTTTGGAGGCTTTTGAAATATTTAATCATGATATAAAAATACTATGTTCTCTTAGTTCATCTTGGTATTGTGATATCTATTGTTATTCTAGTGTCATTCTGAGTCTAAAATATTTATGCGTGTCCATATTATTAGTAACTTTGGTTTCACTGTTTATTGCTATATCATGTTATATTAAGATGATTTACTATAAATGGCTTGTAGATTAGACTCTCATATTCGACCGTTGTAGAGATTTTGGGTGCCTCCAGACAGAGTCTTACTCTGTCGCCCAGGCTGGAGTGCACTGACATGATCTCAGCTCACTATTACCTCCACCTCCGAGGTTGAAGTGATTCTTGTGCCTCAGCCTCCTGAGTAGCTGGGACTACAGGCACATGCCACCATGCCTGACTAATCTTTGTATTTTTTGCTAGAGAGAGGTTTCACCATATTAGCCAGGCTGGTCTTGAACTCCTGACCTCAAGTGGTGCACCCACCTTGACTTCACAAAGTGCTGGGATTATAAGCATAAGCCATCTCTCTTGCCCAGAGACTCTTACTATAGACTTTTTGTTTGTTTGTTTGAGACAGAGCCTCACTTTGTCCCTAAGGCTGGAATGCAGTGGCATTATCTCGGCTCAGTGCCATGATCTCAGCTCACTGCCACCTCCGCCTCCTGGCTTCAAGAGATTCTTGTGCCTCGGCCACCTGAGTAAGCTGGGAATACAGGCACACACTACCACACCTGGCTAATTTTTGTGCTTTTAGTAGAGACAGGGTTTCCTTATATTGGCCAGGCTGGTCTCGAACTCCTGACCTCAAGTGATCTCCCTGCCTCAGCCTCCCAAAGTGCTAGGATTACAAAAGTTCAAGACCAGCCTGGGCAACACAGTGGGACCCCACCTCTACGGGGGAAAAAAAGTCATGTGATGGCATGTGCCCAACAGTCCCAACTACTGAGGAGGCTAAGGTAGGAGGATTACTTGAGCTTGAAAGGTAAAAGCTGTAGAGAGCTGTGATTGCACCACTGTACTCCAGCCTGTGTGACAGTGAGACCCTGTCTCAAAAATACATGTATATAGATACAAAAGATAATGTTATACATTTTCAAGATTGTAGGTAAAGGTATTAGTTATTTCATATAATTGCTTCATGAATCTAGGCCCATAAGCATTAGGAATTACATTAGTTGGAATTAGTTTTGGTTGTTAAATAACAGAAAATACAAAAAGTATTGACTTCAATGAGATAGATGTGGCCAGGTGCAGTGGCTTACACCTGTAATCCCAGCACTTTGGGAGCCCAAGGTGGGTGGATCATGAGGTCAGGAGATTGAGACTATCCTGGCTAACACAGTGAAACCCTGTCTCTACTAAAACACAAAAAATTACTCTGGCTAACAGTGAATATTCCTTCTCTACTAAAAATACAAAAAAAATTAGTTGAGTGTGGTGGCATGCGCCTTTAGTCCCACCTACTTGGGAGGCTGAGGCAGGAGAATTGCTTGAACCCAGGAGGCAGAGGTTGCAGTGAGCTGATATCACACCACTGCACTCCAGCCTGGCAGCCTGGGTGACAGGAAAAAAAAAAAAAAAAAAGGCTGGGCATGGTGGCTCACACCTATAATCCCAGCACTATGGGAGGCCTGGGTGGGTAGATCACGAGGTCAGGAGTTTGAGACCAGCCTGGACAAGGTGGTGAAACCCCGTCTCTACTAAAAATACAAAAATTAGCCAGGCACGGTGGCGGGCGCCTATAATCTCAGCTACTGAGGAGGCTGAGGCAGGAGGATCGCTTGAACCTGGGAAGCAGAGGTTGCAGTGAGCCAAGATCATAGCCTGGGCAACAGAGTGAGACAGCCTCTCAAAAAAAGAAAAGATGCTTATTTCTTTCATGGATACATTTGGGTAGGTAGAGCAGGGCTTGTATGCCCCCTTGAAGCCCAGGCATCTTCCGTGTTGTCTATTAAATTATGTTGACATCCATTTCCAAGTTACTTCTGCATTCCAAGATAGCTGTTCCAGACCTTGTTAGTACCTCTAAATTTTATGTAATAGAGGAGACAAGGGGATGAGAAGGGCATGTCTCCTCCTTTTAGAGACATTTCCGGGCATCATACATTTTACCTACACCACACTGGCTGGAGAATGTTCACACTTAGCTGTAAGGAAGACTGGGCAATAAAATTGGGAGTCTTTTTATTGAGAAAGGAGAGAGTAAGTGGCTTGCTAAAGAACTTCTTTTAAGACACTGGCCTGCTTGCTATGCAAAGGTGATTTTATTTCTCTTATATTTGATATAGAATATTGCTATCATCTCAGAAGCTGCCAGCTCGGGTATTTCATTACAAGCAGATAGGAGAGCTAAAAATCAAAGGCGAAGAGTTCATATGACTTTAGAATTACCTTGGAGCGCTGATAGAGCAATTCAACAATTCGGTAAGTTCCTTCACTGGATTTTACTTAATGGATAGCTAGGAATCATTGGATCATTGGGTAAATTTATGCATATTAAAATATAGGTTTAGGCTGAGCACAGTTGTCTGTAATCCCAACACTTGGGAGGCCACTGTGGGAGGATAACCTGAGTCTAGGAGTTTGCGACCAGCCTGGGCAACATGGGGAGACCCTATTTCCACCAAAAGAAAAAAATACTGAGCCGAGCGCAGTGGTTCACACTCATAATCCCAGCATTTGGGAGCTGAGGCCAGATCACTTGCGGTCATAGTTTGAGGCCAGCCTAGCTAACATGATGAAACCTCGCCTCTACTTAAAATACAAAAAATTAACTGGGTACCATGGCACACGCCTGTAATCCCAGCTATTCAGGAGGCTGAGGCAGGAGAATCGCTTGAACCTGGCAGGTGGAGGTTGCAGTGAGCCAAGACCGGTATACTGCATTCTAACCTGGGCAACATTGGGAGACTCCATCTAAAAACAATAAAAATAAATAAATAAATGGATGGATGGATGGATGGATGGATTGGTTGGATTAGTTGGATGGATGGATGGATAAGCTGGCTGGGTATGATGGTGTTTGCCTATAGTCCCAGCTACTCAGGAGACTGAGGTAGGAGGATTACTTGAGTCCAGGAGTTCATGGTTGCCATGAGGTATGACTGCATCACTGCCCTCTAGCCTGGGTTATAGAGCATGACCTTGTCACAAGAAAAACTAAAACAAAAATCTGTGTTTAATGTCTTTTCAATTTTTTTTTTTTTTTTTGACGCAGTTTCACTCTTGTTGCCTAGGCTGGAGTGCAATGGCGCATTCTCAGCTCACTGCAACATTTGTCTCCTGGGTTCAAGCAATTCTCCTACCCCAGCCCCTCAAGTAGCTGGGATTACAGGCATGCGCCACCACATCCAGCTAATTTCTATTTTTAGTAGAGATGGGGTTTCTCCATGTTGGTCAGACTGGTCTCAAACCTCCCGACCTCAGGTGATCTGTTTGCTTCAGTCTCCCAAAAAGCTGGGATTACAGGCATGAGCCACTGCTCCCGGCCAGTGTCTTACATCTTATAACTCAAAATCTCAGATTTTGCCTTTAAGGAGTGTTAGATATACCTTATAGTATATGGTGCATTATGAATTCAATTTTTGTCTATTTACAAGTTGTAAAAAAACATATACATGGTGGTGGGAATTTGTGGGGTTCCAAGAACAGGGCTCCTCATAAAACTTTAGGATGTATTAGGTCTATGTCAGTGAAGTTGCTATTTACATATGCTTTTCAAACTTCAGTAGCTTTACCAAAGGCACATAGCTCCTCCCTTCATCTTCATGTTCTTGTGACCAGTGATTTGAAAAACGGTCTGGGGGCAATCAAGATGCACATAAGCTGTGCATCAGCAACATGTGGTTAACCAAAATTGGGGTAGCAATGCTAACACTTCTATCATTGAGCAGTTTTATGGCAGGTTTAGTGTTACTCTGTATATGGATCTCTTTCAAGCCAATGTTTTCTTCTTCTTCTTCTTTTTTTTTTTTTTTTTTTTTGACAAAGTCTTGCACTATCCTCCAGGGCAGAGTGCAGTGGTGCAATGTTGGCACACTGCATGTGCCCCCACGCCTGGCTAATTTTTGTATTTTTAGTAGAGATGGGGTTTCACCATGTTGACCAGGCTGGTCTCGAACTCCTGACCTTGTGATCTGCCTGCTTGGCCTCCCAAAGTGTTGGGATTACAGATGTGAGTCACCGCGCCCAGCCCTGTTTTTGATTTTATAATTCTGTTGTGTTTTGGTAAATTTTACATTCTCTGTAAGTTTTCTTGTTTAATGGTTTCCCAATACCAGTTTAGTGTTGAATGCCAGGAATACATCTCAGAATATTCTATCTCTGTCCAGTGAACACAATCACTGATCTTTAAAAACATTTTTGTTACAGGACGAACTCATAGATCAAACCAAGTTACTGCTCCCGAATATGTCTTCCTGATTTCTGAACTGGCAGGAGAACAACGATTTGCATCTATTGTTGCTAAAAGACTTGAGAGTTTGGTGAGTTTTGGAGTTGTGTGGCTTTGTGTAAAAGATGATCTCTGGTACCTGTTTTCTGCTAAAAGGTTACCTATGCCTTGATTGAAATTTTTGTCTTGATAGGGGGCACTTACACATGGCGACAGAAGAGCAACAGAATCTAGGGATCTGAGCAGGTTCAACTTTGACAATAAGGTACATTTCAACTTTCAGTATCTCTGAAAGCTTCTGATAGTGTATGGTGTCTGTAGGGAACAAAAAAGAAAAGTAGTTACTGTCTAAAACAAAACTGCCTCTTCTGTGGGTTTGCTTTAAAATCATGGCTTCCTATAAGACAGAATTTCACATGTAAGTTAGAGCACATATGAGTGATCAGTACAGCAATATAGTTGTCTTTTCATTGCTTTTGGAAAACAGGAATAAATGGAAATGAATTAACTGAGTTCTCAGAAGTAAAGGAAGTTAATTTTTCTCATGTTTGTTATATGCAGAGGCATGAACTAGCAGTATAAATAAAGTATACATAACAGCCAGGGAGTGTGGCTCACACCTATAATCCTAGCACTTTGGGAAGCCAACATGGGTGGATCACCTGAGGTCAGAAGTTCGAGACCAGCCTGGCCAACAACATGGTGTTCATGTCTCAACTAAAGAAATACAAAAATTAGGCAGAAGTGTGGTGGCTCACGTTTGTAATCTCAGCACTTTGGGAGGCTGAGGCAGGCGGATCACCTGGGGTCAGGAGTTCAAGACCATTCTGGTCAACATAATGAAACCACATCTATACGAAAAATACAAAATTAACCAGGCACGGTGGCACCTGCCTGTAGTCCCAGCTACTTGGGAGGGTGAGACAGGAGAATCGCTTCATCCCGGGAGGCAGAACTTGAAGTGAGCTGAGGTCACACCACTGCATTCCAACCTGGGAGACACTGTCTCAAAAAAATATACCAAAATTAGTCGGGAGTGGCCATGCGCAGTGGTTCATACCTGTAATCCCAGCACTTTGGGATGCCGAGTCGGGCAGATCAAGAGATCAAGACTATCCTGGCCAACGTGGTGAAACCCTATCTCTACTAAAAACATAAAAAATTAGCCTGGCGTGGTGGCATGCACCTGTACTCCCAGCTACTCAGGAGGCTGAGATTGGAGAACCTCTTGAACCCAGGAAGCTGGGGTTGCAGTGAGCTGAGATCATTACACTCCAGCCTGGGTGACAATAGCAAAACTCTGTCTCTAAAAAAGAAAAAAATAATAAACATGTATAAAGATAATTGAACTGATTTTTTTTTTTTTTTTTTTTTTTTTTTTTTTGAGTTGGAGTTTTGCTTTTGTTGCCCAGGCAGGAGTGCAGTGGCCCGATCTCTGCTCACTGCAACCTCTGCCTCCCGGGTTCAACCAATTCTCCTGCCTCAGTCTGCTGAGTAGCTGGGATTACAGGCATGCGATACCTCACCCAACTAATTTTGTATTTTTAGTACAGACCGGGCTTCTCCATGTTGATCAGGCTGGTCTCAAACTCTCGACCTCAGGTGATCTGCCCACCTCGGCCTCCCAAAGTGCTGGGATTACAGGCATGAGCTACCGTGCCCAGCTGAGAATTGATTTTTTGAATCTTTGGTACAATAATTGTTTTGTTTTGAGATGGAGTTTTGCTCTTGTTGCCCAGGCTGGAGTGCAGTGGTGCAATGTTGGTCAGATTGGTCTTGAACTCCTGACCTCTGGTGATCCAAAAGTGCTGGGATTACAGGCGTGAGCCACCACGCCCTGCCAGTAGTTTTTATAGTATTTAGGTGGGGTCATGTGATTAAAAGAGTATCCCAATGCTGAAACTGGTTAAAGGTTTTGATTTTTTTTTTTTTTTTTTTTTTTTTTGCAGTATGGAAGAAATGCTTTAGAAATAGTCATGAAATCCATTGTGAACTTGGATTCCCCTATGGTATCACCACCTCCAGACTATCCTGGAGAATTTTTTAAAGGTAACTTAAAAATATTCATTACAATGACAAAGATATACTCAAACCTTTTCTAACAGTTCTAACATTTGCTGTCATTTTAGTTTTTCCTTTGGACATAAATTGTATAAAACTTTCTAATTAATGGTTACTAGTACATGTAAGTGTCTTATTTTAAATAGCTTTATTAAAACAGATTATTCAAATGAAGGTCCTCTTAACTCTTGATACAGTGAAAGCATGTTTGTCTATTAATAGATTTAATAGAGAAAAGTCGTTTTAGTACATTCAGTAAAATCACTTTGCCAAATAGGTTTAAAATTTTATTTTAAAGTTGAAAAAGTCCCTAGGTAAATAATTTGTGAGGGTTGATTGGTGGGAATGGGAAGTTTGGATGAAATAAAATTGGCCATGAATTCACAGTTGTTTAAACTGGGTGAGATACATGTGGCTTACAGATTTATTTATTTATTTATTTATTTATTTTTGAGACTGCCTTGCACTGTCACTTGGGCTAGAGTGCAGTGGTGTGATCTCAGCTCACTGCAACCTCCACCTCCTGGGTTCAGGTGATCCTCCTGCCTCAGCCTCCCAAGTAGCTGAGATTACAGGCACCCCGCACCACGCCTAGCTAATTTTTTGTATTTTTAGTAGAGATGGGGATTTACTGTGTTGGCCAGGCTGGTCTCAAACTCCTGATCTCATGATTCACCTGCCTCAGCCTCCAAAAGTACTGGCATTACAGGTGTGAGTCACCATGCCTGGCCGGAAATGTTCATATTTTTTGAAAAGTACAGGATTCATAATATGGATCTGAGAGTTTTTATTTTATTTTTATTTTACTACCTAAGACTTTTTATATTTACAGTACAAATCTTGTATGTGCAATATCTGTAGAATAGATTATAACCTATCCCCTAAGTGTAAGTCTAGATGAATTTGGTAGTCCAGGGAAACTGAATATATTTTGTGCAATTAGTAGTTGTAAAATATGGAGACAGAGTCTTGCCCTGTCGCCCAGGCTGGAGTGGTGTGATCTCATCTCACTGCACCCTCCGAGACCAAGTTCAAAGGATTCTCCTGCCTCAGCCTCCCAAGTAGCTGGGATTACAGGTGCCTGCCACCATGCCTGGCTCATTTTTGTATTTTTATAGAGATGGGGTTTCGCCATGTTGGCCAGGCTGGTCTTGAAATCCTGGCCTCATGTGATCTGCCCACCTTAGCCTCCCACAATGCTGAGATTATATATATGAGCCACCACACCCAGATGGAGTTAGCATTTTTCACTAGAAAATCCTTTTGGTACTTTAGCACATACTGATATGTGTTGTTAACAGTTAATATTGACATACTAGTTAGGGGTGTTCATCATTACTCCTGGCTTTCTACAAAAGCAATAAAATCTTAACCCTACACCTTCTCTCCTTTCGATCATAAGAGAGAGTGTCAAAAACAATTGGACGTGGTGGCTCATGCCTGTAATCCCAGCACTTTGGGAGGCTGAGGTGTGAGGATTGCTTAAGCCTTGGAGGTGGAGGCTATAGTGAGCTGTGATGGCACCACTGCATTCCAGCCTGGGTGACAGAGACCCTGTCTCAGAAAAAAATAAATCAAGACTCCTTGATTTATTTCTGACTTCTTAAAATTTTACGTTATGGCTAGGCACAGCGGCTCACACCTGTGACCTCAGCACTTTTGGAGGCCAAGGAAGGTGGATCATTTAAGCTCAGGAGATCAAGACCAGCCTGGGCAACACAGTGAAAGCCCATCTCTAAAAAAATAGAAAAACGTTAGCCAGGCACTGTTGTGCACACCTATATTCCCAGCTACTCGGGAAGCTGAGGTGGGACAATCCTTGAGCCTGAGAAGCAGAGGTAACAGTGAGCCAAGATGATGCCATTGCACTCCAGCCTGAGGAACAGAATGAGACCCTATCTCAAAAAAATAGATAGATAGATAGATAGATAGATAGATAGATAGATAGATAGATTACTTATTTATTATAAGTAATGAAAATAATCTCACAGCTGGGCGAGGTGGCTCAAGCCTATAATCCCAGCACTCTGGGAGGCCAAGGCAGACAGATCACCTGAGGTTGGGAGTTTGAGACCAGCCTGGCCAACATGGCGAAACCCTATCTCTACTTAAAATACAAAAATTAGCCAGGTGTGGTGGCATGCACCTATAGTGCCAGCTACTTGGGAGGCTGAGGCAGGAGAATCACTTGAACTCAGGAGGCAGAGGTTGCAGTTGCATTGAGCCGAGATCTCACCACTGCACTCCAGCCTGAGTGACAGAGCAAGACTGTCTCAAAAAAAAAAAAAGGAAAGAAAGGAATCTAAAAGTAGATAATGAAGAGAATTAATAATATGGTCCCCATAATCCTTCTTCCACCCTCACTTTCCTAGGTCACAGATGACAGTGTAAACAGGGGCAGTCCTTTCCACATTTTCTCAGTATTTATCTAAAACACCAACGGTTGGTTTTTTTTTTTTTTAATGGCATGATGTTACTTACAACATACTTTTCTCACTTAACGATACGTTGCAGGCATTCCTTGTAATTTATGAGTCAAAATTGATCCTGTTCTTACAGATGTTCGACAAGGACTGATAGGAGTTGGTCTGATAAATGTAGAGGATCGCTCGGGAATTCTTACTCTCGATAAAGGTACTTACTATTAACTTTGTGTAGGCGTGTAACTGTTGCTATAGTATTAAAGTTCATTATGATATATGCTTTCCAGCTGAAGGGGATGCTTCATGTTCCTGAAACATTCTGGGTGATTTTGGCTGTTGTAGGGTACTCATAAGAGATCCATAAATAGAGCAGCGATTTTCAACACTGGCTGCTAATATAATGAGCTCTCAAGCTTTTAAATATTACTGAAGTGGGCAGAGCATGGTGGCTCACGCCTGTCATCTCAGCAGTTTGGGAGGCCGAGGCAGGCGGATCGTGACGTCAAGAGTTTGAGACCAGCCTGGCTAACATGGTGAAACCCATCTCTACTGAAAATACCAAAGAAAATTAGCCAGGTGTGGTGACGGGTGCCTATAATTCCAGCTACTCTGGAGGCTGAGGCAGGAGAATTGCTTGAACCCGGGAAGGTGTAAATTGGCGTAAGCCGAGGTCGCGCCATTGTACTCTAGCCTGGGCAACAAGAGGGAGACTATGCCTTAAAAAAAAAAATTTAGTGGCCGGGCACTGTGGCTCATGCCTGTAATCCTAGCACTTTGGGAGGCCGAGGTGGGTGGATCACCTGAGGTCAGGAGTTCAAGACCAGCCTGGCCGTTGTGGTGAAACCCCACCTTAAAAAAAAAAGAAAAGAAAAAAAAAATTTACTGAAGTCAGGGATGGTACTCAGATACTGGTAGCAAAGCTCCAGACTAATTGTGCAGCTACAGTTGAGAATTTAGTATTAGAGAACCAGCCTTTTTTTTTTTTTTTTTTTTTTTTTTTTTG